CTTGCCTCCCTACCCTGCCCCCATCTTGACATTCTCCCCAAAGGATCTGATTTTCAGGGACAGTGAGGAGACGGGGACTAGCCAGCAGGGGGATGGGTGTGGGAGCAGGACACCACCTCCTCCAGACCCCAAGGCCTCTAGTCAGAATCCTGGTTTACTTAAGAACCTGTTTCTGAAGCAGCCCTGTCCCAGCCAAGACAAACCCAAGCCGTGCCGATGCCCTGCTTCCTTGGGTGGCGTGACTGCCTGCAGCAGTGGCTCGGAGGTTCTAAGACTCAGCGTGTGAGGCACCTGCTTGACTGTCTACTCTGCCTGGGGGTGGAGGTGGCAGGGGAGGGGCCCCTTCTCCCCAGCAGTCTCTGGGCAGTGATGCTCAGACCTGTCAGAGCTTTACTCAAGTGTCCCATTTATCCAAATTGTACGGCTAAGATATGTGGATTTTATCCCATACAAATTTCACCTTAAGAAAACACAAAACCGCCGAAGCCGGTTTGGCTCAGTGGATAGAGCGTCGGCCTGCGGACTGAGGGGTCCCGGGTTCGATTCTGGTCAAGGGCATGTGCCTGGGTTGCGGGCACATCCCCAGTGGGGGATGTGCAGGAGGCGGCTGATCGATGTTTCTCTCCCATCGATGTTTCTAACTCTCTATCTCTCTCCCTTCCTCTCTGTAAAAAATCAATAAAATATATTTAAAAAAAAAAAAGAAAACACAAAACCTATAAGAAATAACTTCAACTGGGGAGGAGTGGGTGGAGGTGAATGAGCAAGAATGGCAGAAATTGGTAAGTACTGATGCTGGGTGATGGGTACATGGGGGCATTATATATCTGTTTGCTAAAAATATATATTTGGGAAAAATAGAAATATATATATTTGAAATTTGCCGTAATAAAAAAATTTTAAAAGAGACTTAGAAATGTTTGTTTTCTCTAGAAATCTCCCTTCTTGATCAAGAATCTTAAAGAAATTAATATTCTTTACTTAGTAATTCCACTTCCAGGAATCTTCCCAAAGGAAATAACTAGTGATACTAGCTATTGTAGTGCTATGTAAAATAGTGAAAAACTGGACAAAAGTCAATGTCCAACAATAGAGAATGGTTAAAGAAACTATGGTGCCACCATTAAAGACATAGGAAAGTGCTTGTGACCTAAAATGTAAAAAAAAAAAAAAAGGTCAGAATACATAACTACATACCATGTGATGTATTCATGTGCATGGAAAAGAATCTGGAAAGAAATACACTACATGTTACAGGTGGACTCGTGGCAGGTTTTCTTTTTCATTCTAGCCTGTACTGTCATCTTTTCTAGAATGAACTTGTATTACTTTGAAAATCATTTTTAAATCTGGGTGTGCGCCTGAACCGGTTTGGCTCAGTGGATAGAGCGTCGGCCTGCGGACTGAAAGGTCCCGGGTTCGATTCTGATCAAGGGCATGTATCTTGGTTGCGGGCACATCCCCAGTAGGGAGTGTGCAGGAGGCAGCTGGTCAATGTTTCTCTCTCATCGATGTTTCTAACTCTCTGTCCTTCTCCCTTCCTCTCTGTAAAAAATCAATGAAATATATTTTAAAATAAACAAATAAATAAATAAATAAACCTGGGTGTGCCATTTTGAAAGGAGAATAGGTGGAAGGAAGAACAGATTTCCATGCAAGTATCAGCTGTGAAATATGATACTGGGACTGGAAGAAATCTTAGAAATTAGAAATTGCCTAAGTCCAATTTTCCCATTTTACAGATGAGAAGATTGATGCTCAGAGGAGTCAAATGACCAGTCAAGTGATCCACTTGAAGGTCACCTCCCTGAGGACCTTCCCCTGCCCCATCCTTCCCTCACTTCCCACCCACCTCAGGTCCCTACTCATGGCTGTGTCCTCAGCCCCTCATCCCATCTCCCACCTGCCCAGGGAGAGCATCTGACTAGCCTCCTGTGGGCATGTGCCCAGGCCTTGGCAGAGGAGCACTGCCCATCTCATTCGACAATTCCACCAAGACCGAATCATGTGGGTCTGAGTAAATTCTTCTTCCTCTGGGGCCAAAAGATTAGTGTTCCCTAGATAGCTGAATATTTGGCAAGGCAGGTTCCAACTTTAGGGTTTTTTCCCTTCTTTCTCATGCTCCCCGGAGCATGGTGTGTGGCTGGGTGATTTAGGGGAGGGCAGATTAACTAAGGTGCCTGCCCCTCATCACTCTCCCCTTCTTTTTCTGATGAACAGGCACTAGCCACTGCCTACTGTGCCCCATTTAAAATTGTGATCTGGATATTTTCATATCATTGTGCCGGGGGAGGGAGCAAGGACTTGTGCTTGACATACGTACTGAATATATCTGTGTGTCTCCTTTGTGAATCTGTGTATTATGCAGGGTGTACCCGTACAAAGACAGGTCACTGGGTAAACTGAGGCACTGTTGGGGAACTGACTTGCTCACAGAGTATAACTGAGGACTGCTGCCTCTGATTTAACTGTCTAAGCTTATGTCTTGCATGGTGAGAGTGCAAAGCGTTCAGGTCTGAAATGGCTGCAGCAGAGCCAGCCACCTTGGATGGTGTAAATATCCCCAAGTGACAGGAAGTAAATAAGCACATGGTGGAACCACCATTTTCCCAGCAAACCTCCCCCGAGTGGGTCTCATGAAAGGCCATGAAAAGAAATGGTCTTGGCCCGTGTGTCTCCCAAAGACCAAATGCAGTCAGAGTGGGCTGAGCTATCTGCTCGCACAGATTAGGTATTTTAGCGCCAATGCTCAGGCCTCAAGGAGAGCCTGGCTGCTGGCAGCCAGCCAGCACTGTCTTGTTTAATTTTTAGATTTGGCTGTTAAGTTTGGCCCAGCGTGAGCCTGTGTTTGGTTCGAGGTATGAGGATGGAGGATTCCTGGTGGGAAGGCCTGGGTCTGGCTCTGGGACCTTCCAGCCGTGTGACCTTGGACAAGACATCTCACCCGGTAGACAGTGTTTCCTGTCTGTACAAGGAAGGGAACAACCCTGCTCTGCTTGTCTGGCTGAAGGCAGACTGAAGAGCAAATGAGCCGCTGTTGTGGGAACTGTGGAAGCACTATGCTAATGACCGGCATGATCATGTTCACAGCTGAGTCCTCTCCGCCTGCTTCGCTCAGTTCCGCGTTGCATTTACATACCGTGGGTTTTACCCCTCATTCTTGCTGCAAAACCCTTTGGAACGCATCATTTTATTTTATTTTATTTTATTTTATTTTTTTTTAAATATATTTTATTGATTTTTTACAGAGAGGAAGGTAGAGAGATAGAGTTAGAAACATCGATGAGAGAGAAACATCGATCAGCTGCCTCCTGCACATCTCCTACTAGGGATATGCCCGCAACCCAGGTACATGCCCTTGACCGGAATCGAACCTGGGACCTTTCAGTCCGCAGGCCGATGCTCTATCCACTGAGCCAAACCGGTTTCGGCATGGAACGCATCATTTTAGACCTGGAATTGATACATGTGGGATTGCCTGCCCTGTTTATCTGAGAGTCCTCTGAGCTAAGGAAAAGACTGGAATTAGGAGGAAAAACAGACCCCGAGAGATATTAGCCAAAGGCACAAAGAACTGCCATCCTGGTGTTCTTTCTTCCCTAGATGACAGCAACGTCTAAGTGCAAAGCCGGAGACGCTCATCAGAAGTTAGCCTCACGGTTCCCCAAACTGCCCCCTTGTCCTCTGCATCTGTTCCCTCCGGAGGAAAGTGCTGAGTTTGTGGGTGGCGGCGCCGAGTCCCACCAGGTACCACATCTGGTACCTGTAAGTGGTGGGTGTACAATACATATTTGGTAAATATTTATAATAGAGGAAAATAAAAGAGGAGCTCTACAATTGTCCTCTTATCACCTTAAGTGTCTTAAACTACAGAAACACGTCTATCTTATTTCCACAAGTTGGGGGTGCCACTGCTTCTCAGACACACCGTTTGTTAGGTACCACAGAGAATTAAAACATGGCGCGATGCTTCCTCATCGTGTCAGTTATGAGCCACACATCTTGATTTCACTGGTTACAATGGGAAAGAAATGGGCATTTTAGAAGAGATGAAATGCAGTAGGTAGGGCCACCTCTTTCAACGGAAAAGCTTTCCCTTGTGGTCCTGATGCATTCTGAGATTAGCTGTCTTGTTTTCAGGCTCAGCTCCTTGCATTTATACATGTTATGCAACCATGCTTTCATATGGGTTGAAAGGCGACATTACCTCTATTTTTCTTATGGACACAATAATACGAAGTAGTTCTGTGCTTTAATATAGTTTTAGTGCAGATTGTAAAATACTTGTCAGAGCCAAAGTCAAACCAATTCTGCACTCTATTATTTATGACAAGATTTAAAAGAATAAACATTCATTCCGTCTTCTCTCTCCCACGTAATGGTTTTTGTTGTCCTACTTAGTGGTTGATTTGGCTGTTCTGCTGTTGTTATTTAGCTTACTCTTAGTTCAAGTAAAGCAACTGAACTGTGAGTTTCCTACTGCACAGAGAAATCAGGCATGAACAGACCCACAGGATGAGAGCACATCACCTGCGTGGGCTAAATATGACGTTTTTAAAATGGAAGGTGGGAATTCATCGTCTTTCTGGGCAGAAGGGAGCCTGAGGAATACAGGGTAAAAGAAATACAGCTTCTGTGACAATCCTTTGGAAATTTTTAATGGATAGTCCTTGCTCATAAATTCTACAGTTTGGGGTAAGAAAAACTCCATCTGTTTCTAGTCTGTTCAGTAATATCAGGACATTACTTATACATAACAGCAAAGAGAGTCACCCCAAAGAAAAGAAAAAGAAAGGACTAAAGGCTAGACCATGACTGGATGGAGAGGAGTGGTCTAAGTAATTATAGCTCCCATGATGCCTTGCTCCCCACCAGGGTCTCAGGGTGTTACTCTGTTGATGAGGGTCAGTAGCCCTGGTGCTGGGGAGGAAAAGGGTGAGAAGCTGGTACGATTGGATCAGCACTAACATGGGTTTTGCCCACTGTTCTCTCCCCTGCAGTCTGAGTACCACTACGAGTACACCGCATGTGACAGCACGAGTTCCAGGTGGCGGGTTGCTGTGCCACACACCCCAGGCCTCTGCACCAGCCTCCCGGACCCCGTCAAGGGCACCGAGTGCTGTAAGCAGCCATCCCGCTCCAGGGCCACCTGTCACTCAGCTTCAGCCTCTGCCCCATGCCTCCTGCCTTGCAAGCGAGGCCCTCCCTGACAGTGCAGCTGCCTTAAGGAATCAGATCTTTTCCACATTTAGTCCCCCCATCCTCAACCCTTTTGAGATTTGGCGCAGAAATGTTATTTCACAGATGCAAACTGGGTATCTGAATTTGCTTTAAAAAATTTTTTAAATCCCATTAGGGTATAACGTGTAAGTAATTCCAGCTGTGTGCCATGCAGATACTTTTTTCAGTGTGCATACATTTTCCTTTTTGCCTGCGCATGCCTCCAATCTGCACTCACCAGCCACAATTGGTCATTAGAAAGATTGCAATTTGCTTTCGTCCTTGAAAAGGAAGCCAGAGAAGATGAATTTAACACACACTGGGCATCACTTCAGGAAATAAGAACCTTCCCCCACTGGAGCTGACTGTGCAATCAGCCAGGCGATGGCTTGCCTGCAGCTCCTGTTCCCGCCTCTGGGACTCTTAGAGCTTTTCTACAATCAGCTGCTCATTCTCCTGCACTGTTCTTTTTATTTTTATTTTTATTTTTAAATCTTTTTTATTTTTTTATTTTTTATTTTTTTTTTATTGATTTTTTACAGAGAGGAAGGGAGAGAGATAGAGAGTCAGAAACATCGATGAGAGAGAAACATCGATCAGCTGCCTCCTGCACATTTCCCACTGGGGATGTGCCCGCAACCCAGGTACATGCCCTTGACCGGAATCGAACCCAGGACCCCTCAGTCCGCAGGCCGACGCTCTATCCACTGAGCCAAACCGGTTTCGGCATGCACTGTTCTTTTTAGATATGCAAAGGGAGTAACAATACAAATCAGAGACTACAATCAAGGAACACTTGAAAATTTGGAAAGGAAATTGAGGGCATTTAAATTCTAAAATAGGCTTAGCATAATGCCTGGTTCAGTAAGTGGGCAAATAAATACTTGTTAAATTAGAGAACGAATATTGCTAAGACCCGAGCAGAACGAGGTGTGACTAATGGAAACAAATGAGCCGTCTTCTCTGAACTGGGCCAACTTTATCGAGCTCCTCCTATGTGCATATCTCCATTCATTTGTCAGCAAAGCCTTTATGGAGAGCTCCTGTGTCAGTCACTGAGCCATCATCCCTGGAGGAGTCAGGGCCTGGTAGCAGGCTCCCATCAATATGATGTGTTAATACGAGGTGAAAAAGGATGGGGGCTATGGATGCTTATTAGGGATCAGAACCACGTGAGCAAAAGTTTGGAGGTAGAAGAACACGTGGCCTGGGATGAAGACAACACAGGCAGCGTGAGGATGGGGCTGGGCTGGAGAAAGGTCTGCGTGGGAGAGAAGCTGGAAAGTTTGGCTGAGAGCTTAATTCTATAACCAAAGAGGGGCACCTGATCATTTTTTAATTAAGTCAATGTTTTAGAATGATACTTCTGACCACAAAATGAGCAGAAACAAGAAACAGGGCACAAATTAGGGGGACACTGCAGAGGGTGAGCTCACAGGTCATGAGAATCCCAACTGCATGGTCAGTGGAACCGGAAAGGAGACAGAGACTCAAGGGGAAACTCAAGGCTGGAGGGCCAGGTGCCCTTCAGAGGGGTCGGCGTGAGAGACCATGGTGTCCTCTTCACTGGAGAGGTCTCTGAATGGCCACGGCTACTCCCTTAGGAAACAAGATTGACAGGGATAAGCCCAAATCCCTCAGCAAGGCAGAGCTTCCACAGCCCAAGTCTTTTTCTTTTTTAAGTAACAGCTTTATTGAGATATAATTTGCATGTCATAAAATTCACCTCAAAGTGTAAAGTTCACTTAGTTTTTAGAATATTCAGAGTTGCATAACCATCACCACTATCTAATGTCAGAACACTATCATCACCCCAAAAAGAGACATCAAATCTACCAGCCATCTCTCCCCCAAGTTGCTGGCCCCACAAATTCACCATGTGTCTTTGTGGATTTGCCTGTCCCGACATTCCATGTTAATGGACTTGGACAAGACATGCATGGCTCTAACGCTTAGTGGGCCCAATGCCTAGACCTCTACCCTCTGCTCCTCCCTGTAGGATGCCCAGAACCTGCCCACTTCTCCTAGGGCAGCAGCGGCCTCACCACCCCAACATTGTCCTTGCTTTGTGTTCCAGCCTTTTCTTGCAAAGCTGGGGAGTTTCTGGACATGAAGGACCAGTCCTGTAAGCCCTGCACTGAGGGCCGCTACTCCCTTGGCACAGGCATCCGGTTTGACGAGTGGGACGAGCTGCCCCATGGCTTTGCCAGCCACTCATCCAACGTGGAGATCAACGACAGCACCAATGAGTCCACCGAGAACTGTACTTTGTGAGTCACCCCCTCCCTGTCCTCTCCCACCCCTGTGCTCCCTCCTCCCTGTGCTGGGAAGGGGCTCAGGGAGCACTCCTCTTCTGCTCTGCAGGCGGGCAGGGAGGGTGGAGAGGAGGGAGCCCAGGCTGAGGGCTGAAGCAGGTGCCCACTGCACTGTTAGGTGGGACGTCCGTCCACCTTAGCCCATTCACGGACATAAGCTTCCTAGTGATGGACAAGCATTTGTGGCAGGAGAAAAACATGGGGAGACAGAGAGAGGTAGGTAAGATGGCCACGGGTTCAAGGGCCCAGTCCATTTAAAACAAAATCCAATTGCATTTCCACCATGCAATTCTGGGTCAGCCAATAAACAGCCTCACGTTGATGGCAACACAATGTGTAAAGCCCTGGGCATCTTCCTAGCTTCGGTGCTAACTTCTAAAACTGGTCTGCCAACCCCCAGGTGTGGGGGGGATACAGCAGGACCAGAGCTTTGGTCTGCGGTGGCTTTCAAATCCTTTGAGACTCCAGTGACTGAAAAGTTCCCAGCTCAAAAGGAGATATTTTTAGTAATCGAAAAGCTCAGCTCAGGGTGCTGGTAGAACTGGTGAGCTTTCCTTGTCAAAATCTTTGAATACGTAATGCCAGGGGTCGGAGTGAAATGATGTGCCTTCTGTTGTTCAGCACCATGCTGGATGCTTTAATCCCCACGAGAACCTGTGAAATAGCATGACTGTTCCCATTTCACAGGCGAGGAACTGGAGACTCAGCGAGTGAGGTTCAGTGACTCGTCCTTTGTTACCCGGCTTACAGCTGGCGAGCCTGGAGCTCACACCCAGTCCCAAGCTTTCTACTGCCCCGAGCTGCCACCTTCAAATGAGTCAGTGTGTGCGAGGCAACGTTGGAACCTAGGGAAGAAAGTGGGGGCGGTGCATGGATGTAAAAGACAATCGTCCACTGCTCTTTGTTAAATATTGGCCAAGAATACGGGAGAGAAGTACGTCCATGAAAGTGTCTCTTATGCCCAAGCAATCAAAAGGACAAAAAGGAGTTAATAACTGTATTACACTTGGATTTCTAAAACGAGAGCAATGTCTCCCATTCTTATACTTTAACCTCCTAGAAGTACCCTTGTCGGAGCCAGGCAGCAGGCATTTCAGAGTCCAGTTTTAGAATTCAAACTGTGTGTCAAAATCATTAGCACGACAACATTGCCTCCGAGGGAAAGCTGGAGAGGATTAAAGCTGGAAGGAGAGGGAATGCAGGTTAAGACAGCCAACGCCATCTGTGTCCTAACAGAGAACGTGACTGAGCCGACCCAGGTGCCTCAGTTTCCTCATCCTAAAAACAGTATTCCTCTTATAGGGAGTGGCAAGAATTAAATGAGATGATAAGAGTAAGAATCTGGAGCAACGCCTGGCACTAGAAATCGGTGAAGACATGTTGTTCTGATTGAGTGTGAAGTGCTCTTCGCCAGGGACAGCTCTGACAAACACCAGAATTGTGATGCAGTTTGCAAATGTAACCCATTATGGCACCCTTTTAATTATTCATCTGACTTCAGCAGTTATTTATAGCTGATGCCGGGGAGCACATCAGCATTCAGTGTTGTCTCGTTTAACAGGAGCAATCAATACCATTAGGTTAGTGCGGGAATCTTGCAGGAGCTCAGCATAGGTGCTTTGGATATGCTTCCATGCGAGAATAACGCTAACTGTTGAAGAGCTGGAAGTGCCATGTTAGTCTGACAAACACAGGAGGAAACCAGGGGACTAAACTGAGGTCCCCTTAATGGCACATTATTAGTCATTGGAGACATGAGCTGGTTTCCAGCAAAACAGTGAAATAGTGGGGGCATAATGTGGGGCCACCTCTTATTGGTTCCTTGATCCGAGGTTGTTCTTTTAAAAAAAAAAAAAAGTTTTATTGATTTCAAAGAGGAAGGGAGGGAGAGAGATAGAAACATCAATGATGAGAGAGAATCGTTGATTGGCTGCCTCCTACACGCCCCACATTAGGGATGGAGCCCACAAGGCAGGCATGTGCCCTGACTGGGAATCGAACCGTGACCTCCTGGTTCACAGGTCGAAGCTCAACCACTGAGCCACGCTGGCCGGGCTCAGACGTCATTCTTTACTGAGCATTTTCAGGTCTAAGCTTTCGCCTGTGAATCACAAACCAAGAATTCCCCCAGAGACCTACAAGGTCACATGAAGCTGGTGGGCCGTGCCCCTGACAGTGAACTTGGCCCCTGTTTCCACCCACAGATCCAAGTGGGTTCCCCTGGGCGACTACATCGCCTCCAACACGGACGAGTGCACGGCCACACTGAAGTATGCCGTCAACCTGAAGCAGTCGGGCACTGTCAGCTTCGAATACTACTACGCAGACTCCAACATCATCTTTGAGTTTTTTGTAAGCTGTTGGCCAAGGGGGAGGGTGGGCGGCAGAAACTCTCCGTGGCTCAGATGCACCTGCAGGAATCAAGCCCAGTCCTGCCTGGGAAATCGCCACAGTTGTTATCCTCTGGAGAGAACTGTGGGCAAAAGGAGCTGAGGCTTCAAGAGGCGAGGGAATCTGAGGGGAGGAGGGGAGTCTGGGAATCCTGGGGGTGTCGCCCTGCTCAGACACACACACCGCATGGAATGGCTTCTCTGAGTTACCGGTTATGTCTTTGCTGTCAGTGCCTGACGTTTTGTGTGTGTGACTAGCTCCTGCCCTCCTTCAAGGCTCGTATGTTCTGAGCTCTGTTCCTAAAGGAAATTGGCAACTCTTCTCCCACAAGAAAGGGCCTCTGGAAGGCTGCCACAGCGTGGGGGAAGGAACCCATTTCCTTAGAAGACTCTGATCCCAAACTCCTGCTGCCTCAGGTCCAGAATGACCAGTGCCAGCCCAATGCGGATGACTCCCGGTGGATGAGGACCACAGAGAAAGGATGGGAATTCCACAATGTGAGCATCAAGCCAGCCTTCCTGCCGCCTCTGCTAGAGACGCAGCTGTTCCTAGAAATCCCGGAAAAGGGACCAAGGGCCTTTCCTCCGAGGAGTGCCTCCTCCCAGCCCAGGCCTCCATCCCTCCTTCCTCAGAGGACAGGGGTCTGACATGATGAGGATGCTGCAGTTTCTCTCCTGATGAGTTGACGAAATATGGGTGTGGGCTGTCTTGCTGCACCAGTGGCTTGACCCCAAGGATCAGCAGCCTTTTTAAAGGCCAGGTCTTCTGGGGACAGGAGATGGATAAGTAGAATCAGAGAAGGAGGAATTCCATTCACCCTACTGTCAGATCCACCCTACCGTCAGATCCCTTCACCAGTCTCGCTGCAAAGTTGCTCATGGTGTATGTGACTGAGGGTGGGAGATGGTTGTAGAGGAAGCTCAGAAGACAGAGGAGGAAGGCCAAGACAAGAGCAAGTGCAAAGCTGAGGAAGTGAGGGGGAGGATCAGAATAGGCACTGGTAAGAGGCTGCACTAACTCCTGTCTGTGTTTGTAGGTAAAGCTAAATCGAGGCAATAATGTCCTCTATTGGAGAACCACAGCCTTCTCAGTGTGGTCCAAAGTCTCCAAGCCAGTGCTGGTGAGAAACATCATCATCACAGGTATGGAGAGGGGGCGGGGTCTGGGTCTGCTGGGTTTTCAGCCTTGGGACTCTGTAGGAGGAGAGTGGGGGCCAGTCCCCAGGGGGCTCAGTCTCTAGGCGCAAGTTTTGCTTTTCTATGTTCTTCCTTCCCAGGGGTAGCCTACACTTCGGAATGCTTCCCCTGCAAACCCGGCACATATGCAGACGAGCAGGGCTCCTCTTTCTGCAAACTTTGTCCAGAAAATTCTTATTCAAACAAGGAAGAAACTTCTTGCCACCAGTGTGACGCCGACAAATACTCAGGTGATGTTTCTGAGGGCAGGAAGGGTTCGGAGGGCAATACCAAGCACAGGGAGAAACAGGCCGTGGAGCCATCCTTCTGGTCAAGTCCAGACCGGTCATTCTTAAACCCTTGCTTTCTGGACACTGGAAGAACCTTGCCAACCCACATTCTACCAATTGCTCCGGAAATAAAAATGAAATCATTTAATAGGTATTCATTGAGCTTCTACTATCTGCCAGGGCCTATTCTAGGTGCTTGGAATATATTGGGGAACAAAATAGACAAAGTGCCCTGTCTTCATGGAATTTACATGCTGGAGGGGGTAAGACAGACAATAAACAACAACTATAATAAGTAAACAATAAATATATAAAAGTTTAATTTGTATGTTAGTAAGAAGTACATGGCATGGCATGGCCAGTGTGGCTCAGTGGTTGAACGTCAACTTATAAACCAGAGGGCCCCGGCTCAGGCACTCCAGTAGTTGGCAAGGAGGCCAATCTCCAAGACAGGTTCTGAAAAAACTAGTAGTGAGAGAGAGAGTCCCTTTTCTGCCTCTGCAAACACTCACAACTAGTTATTTCATTTTTTCTTTCTCACACAGAACCATACACAAACCCAGCTCAAGGTGCTCTCTCAAGCAGACCCCGAATCCCTACACAGACACACCCAGCCTTAACATAGGTGTTACAGTATGTGTTGGCTCAGCCAAGACCCGCCACTGACTTGTGAACTGCTTATTTTTAAAACAGAAATCCTGTTTCTGTCCACGGATCTTGCCAGAGGAGTATAGATTTCAGCAAGAACAGGAATGTTCAGATCTTTCGGGAAGTTTTTATCTATACGTCTAAATTCCTGTTCTTCCACTCGACTTTCTTATTCCTCGTCCCTGCTCGGTCAATGGCAGCCTTTGTTAGTCTAAGTCTCCAGCTCTTTCCAGCCCAGCTGCTGTACAAGGGTGTGAATGGCAAGTGGTTCTAAATAACTACCTACGAGTATTTTGATCAACTCCATGTAAAGCGATTTGTATCCAGAGAGCTGTTATGAAGTGGTAGGTTTGGAGTCTGAATTCTTGGAGTCTATTTTCCTTCTGCCACCGATTTCCCACTCCACCCCTTTGGCTGGGGAGTGAGTTTTTACTACGAAGAACAAGGTCAGCTTGTCGACCACCTACCAGCTAGGGGTACAAAGAGGGTTACAGTTCTTTGGGACTTGACTCCTCCAGAATACAGGGTCAATGGGAAGCTGGGAAGCTGCTGAGAGAGTCTGATGAGAGTCTATGATGGAGTGCACATGAAGGAAGTGACCGAAGACCCTGGGAACCTTTAGTCACCCATTTACAAATACGTCCTGGGTGTCTGGTAGGTGCCAGGGCTTGAGCTTGGTGCTAGGGTTAGAGCGGTGCCTGCCTTCCAGCTTATGTTGAAAAGGGGAAACATGGTTATGGAAACATCTAAGTGTAGTGACTTCATGGAGTCGGAGGTGCTGGGATAGGAGCGCCGAGTGTAGGGTGCAGTGGAGGTGAAGAAGGGAAGCGGTCATTCCTCTCTAGGGAGAGAGGAAAGGCTTCGCTAGCTGTGGTCTTGAGAGATGAACTGAGTCTTGAAAGACAAGTTGGTGATTTGATGGGGGCGGGAAGTTCTGGAAGAAGTGTGAGCCAAAGCCAGAAGGCTCAGGGAACTTGGAGTAACTAGCATGGCTGGAGCTTACTTGGAGAGGTGGGCAGGGAACAGAGATTATGGACCATCCTTCTGTGCCACTGCTCAAAAGTTGAGATTTAATCCTTTCAGCAGTGGGGCCACTAAAAAGTTTTAAGCTGGGGACATGGCCTGGCTTGTGCTTTTGAAAGACCACTCTGGCTGCCATTTGGAAAATGGGTGAGGAAAGGAGATTTTACAACAGGTCCAGGTATCCAGGACCTAGACTAAGGCAGAGCCATTGGGGGAGGAGATGTTAAGCACAAAAGCTTGACTGAAAGAAAGCATTTTCCTCATTGATACCTAAAACTTGATCATTAGGATTAATTACCTTGTGTTACATTGAATAGTTAGGGATTCATTTCCTAAGAGAACAGCCTGGGATTTCAGAGCCTGGACCCCAGAACTAAATTACTACGGTTCAAATCTCTAGTCTACCATTTACTAGCTTCGCCACCTTGGGCAAGTTATCTGTCTGTGCCTCAGTTTCATCATCTATAAAATGGAATGACAGTAATCATATCTACCTCATAGTGTTACTGTATGGATTAAGTAATGCAGGTGAAGGATTCAGAACAGTGCCTGGCATGTAGTGAGCACTAACTTTATTAATTCATTACGTTAAGGCCTGTCCCAGCAGTCCTCTGCTAATATACAAATGCTATTGGCATAGATAGCAATAATAATATGACACTTGTATGGTACTTGACAAATTATAAAATATTATCTCATTTATCACTCATAGCATAGTACAAGAGTGACTCCCCATTCACAAACGAATAAAGAACAGCTCAGAGAGGCTCAGGGATTTGCCCAGAGTCTGAGGTGGTATCTGAGCCTGGCCTGTTTTCTGTTGCTAAAGTGTATCAGAATGAGAACACTATTCTCCTGACCAGGGGGAAGACACTGAGAGGAAGAGGAAGGTACAAAAAGAGGAGTTGGAGCCCCCAAGATAGACTTTAATTCCTTACAGTTTTGGCCAGGCCCGATCCTACAGGAATCACGTTTCATTTTCTCAAACATCTAGGCCGAACTTTCAAATGTGACTAGTACCCAACTTACACGCCATGATGAAACCTGAGCCAGGAGAGTGAGGTCTGTCGCAGCATCTGGGTTAATCATTTATTAACACCCCCTTAACAGTTGTCCATGTGTAAACAGCTGGACTATTTTTGCTGATACCTGGAGCTAGCATGTCAGGCTGAGCAAATGTTTGACAAGCAGAGAAAGGCCCTAGTGTGGAATGCACTTTCTTTTCCTTTTCATTTTTTAAATATATATATATATATGTGTATATATATATATATATATATATATATATATATATATATATATTTGATTTTAGAGAGGAAAGAAGAAGGAGAAAGAGATAGAAAGATTAATGATGAGAGAAAATCATTGATCGGTTGCCCGCTGCACGCCCCCCACTGGGGACTGAGCCTGCATCATGGGCATGTGCCCTGACCAGGACTCAAACTGTGATCTCCTGGTTCATAGGTTGACACTCATCCACTGAGCCACACCAGCCGAGCTGGAATGCACTTTCTAACAGGCAGCTTGCAATTTGCTAAACCCAATACATAAGGGTCCTGGGAATTGGTGTGTTTTCAGTATCTCCCCCCAAATCTCTCCTGGCAAGTCGGTCAAAAATAGGAGTCCCTGATCCCTCTGTGCTGAATTAGGCCTTCTGCTTGTTAACCAAATAAACGAGCTAAGAAGGCCCCAGATGTTTCTCAGCCAGTAGTTCCCTCTTGCCCAAGCTAATGAGACAGGGACAGAAGAGGCGTGGAGGTGCGTGGTTGTGGGAACTCCCTGGTGCAGGCCAACAAGGCGACAATTGGGAAATTTTCTGATCTAGGAACTCATTTGGTGCCTTGGGAAGAAGAAGAGCTCAATTGAGAAATAAGCCCTTAACTGGAAGGGAGAGAAAGAGACTTTTAATCCTTATTAAAAACCCATGACAGTTACCAAATAAAATAACCCCTACAATCCCAGGTAATAAGAGTTACCAGCATTTAGTGAGTCCCTCCTTACAAGGTGCCAGGTGTGCTGGCTCCTGCCAAGTAGATATTATTATTCCTGTTCTACATATGAGAGCACTCAGGCTCAGGGAGGTCAAGTAACTTGCTTGATAACGTGACACAGCTACGAAATGATGACGCGGGATCCAGACCCAGACCCAGACCTGTCTGAGTTAGTAGCTCATTCCACTCCACCACTCTGCCTGTCAGGTAACAGAGAGGGAGGCAGTCTCGCGTGATCACATGCTCGCCTTCAGGACACTGCAGTCATATTAGAAATAGTGGTGACAGCAGCGGTACTAGTGTACACTCACATTCTTAAAGCAGTGATTTTTATTCTGGAGAAAATTAATTTCTTGGAAATTTAATGCATGGGGTGTGTGTATTTTTGGATAGAGAAAACAGGTCTCTCTTTCAAATTCTCTAAAGGGTGCATCATTTTTAAAAGGTGAGGTCCCTTGTTTTAAAGAGGGATTCACTGAAGCAGTTCTTGCTATGCAGGGGTTCAGAGGGTTAAAGCAGAACTAACAGGCACATGAGGAGAACACACAAGAGGAGAATAAATGAAACGATAGCTGACATTTCTCATCAGGTGCAGAGAATGCTGGGGTGCTGAGGGGGAGGGGGAGGTTGTGCAGAAAGAAAATATGAAGAGAAAATTCAGAGAAAGAATTAGAATAAGAGCATGAAGGCACTGTCCTAAGCTTTTCTGTCCTAAGTGCAGGAGAAACTGCACCCAGTCAGGATTCTGACCTGGAAAATGGCGGGCTTCAGGGAACGTGGTTGGTGGTGGTTAACCTGTGAGATGCTCTTTCTAGCTACCCACCCTCACTGCGGGTCCTCCGGCCAGTCCACTTCTCCACGTGCTGCCCCCCAGCGCGGCTGTGGCTTCTCCCCACACCAGGGACGGAGCACAGGGGCGTCTGAGCAGGGCCTCAGGGACTGTGACTTCTGCCACTGAGGCCGCGGGCAGGGTTGGTGTGCAGGCTTTTCTACTTCCCGCAGTATCTGTGCTGTGCTGGACCCTGGGGTCTTGGGGCCACAGGGTCATGAGCAAGCGGTCAAGAGCTCTGGTCTCCTATGTAACCCGAGTATTTGTCCTCACGTTTGCTGTTTAGAAAAAGGATCCTCTTCCTGCAAAATGCGTCCAGCCTGCACCGACAAAGATTACTTCTACACGCACACGGCCTGCGATGCCAACGGAGAGGTGGGTAGCACGGTCTCGGGGCCCCTCTTCCCGCTCCCTGGGCTTTACCACATTCGGAGTTCCAGCGGCCACTGAAGCTGCACCAGAGAAAACCCCAGAGGCCTGCAGAGTGACTCGGGGGCCCGAGTGGAGGGTCTGTCTTAGATCAGACCCTCTGGATGCACTGCCTGCCTCTCTAAAGCAGAGCCTCCCGAGGAGACGGGAAGCTGCATTCACTGAGCGTGTGCTTGGCTGTCAGCAGGCACATGTTTGCTGGCTGGCTGAGTTCTGCCTGTTAAGCACAGGATAAAGGCTGGTCCTAGCAGCGACTGTTTTTCAGTCATCTCTCATTCCCCGCCCCGCCCCGCCCTCATGTTTGCAGCGTCATCCCCTTCCCCAGCAGCAAGCGGGAATGGCCGTGTATCTTATCAGCTGTGCCTCAGACTCAGTTCCGCAGCATCTGGTGTTCCATCGGATCTTGTAAAAATTGCCATTTTCTTGGCCTCAGCTGACTCCCTGATTTCATGAGGACAGTCCTGCTCCTCTTCTCCTCTCTGGGCACATCACGTGGCTGAATGTGCCCATCTTTGCTCCCTCCTGCCCCACTCTCCCCTCCCGCTTGGGCCAAGGCCTTCTCGATCTGTAGGGTGCTGCTTCTCTTGTCCACTGGCCTCTTGCCTCGCCACCCCCAGCTTTATTGCGACGTCACTGACATGTAAGACTGTGTGAGTTGAAGGTGTGCAGCATGTTGATCTGATACCCTCACATTCTGCAAAACGATGAGCATCAGAGCAGTGGCTAACACCTCCATCACATCACATAATTACCATTTCTTTTTTTCATGGTGAGAACATTTAAGGTCTACACTCCTAGCAACTCTCAAGTATATGATCCGTTATTATGAACTGTAATCACCATGCTGTACACTACATCCCCAGAGCGTAATGGCCTCATCACTGGAAGTTTGTAGCCTTTGGCCAACGTAGGCTTGATCAAAGCCTTGATGTCCCAGAACACAGTGCCCATACCCCCATGTGGATGTTATTATGTGCCCTGTCTCTCTCACCATCTCTGAGTCTCCAGGTCTGACATATAGATGTTACTAGTTTTCTGAATAAATGCAAAAGCAAAGACAGCACCCAGGAGACAAATTGGGAATTCCATCCATGCCTTTCTGTGCTCTGGGATTTACCAGCTGCTTTTCCTGTGATTCTTCATTGGAATCCGAGCTTTCTCTGAAGACAACTGGTCCCCCCACCCCATGTCACACAAGTCGTTATTAGGTATATCCCCTTCCCCCAGTCAACATGCATTCAAATGCATTCATGAGCACAACCATGGGCCAGGCGCTGGGCTAGGTGCTGGGGATACATCAGTGACCAAGATAAAGATCCCCGCCCTGGTGGAGTTTTCACTATAGCCCAGAATCTCCCTGTCCTCAAAGTCAACTTTCCTAAAGATGTACTAAGCTGCGCACCGGCTGAGCCATTCTTGATCCATTTCTGCAGACGCAGCTCATGTACAAATGGGCCCAGCCGAAAATCTGTAACGAGGATCTCGAGGAGGCGGTGAAGCTGCCCGCCTCTGGCGTGAAGACCCGCTGCCCGCCATGCAACCCAGGCTTCTACAAAACCGACAACAGCACCTGCGAGCCCTGCCCTTATGGCTCTTACTCCAACGGCTCTGGTAACCCCCCCTTTACTGCCTGGTCCCTGCATCTCATCCATTTCCACAGTACCCACAGGGTGGTCAGCTGTCCTTCCCAGGGAGGCAGTGAGGGCTGGGACACCCCCGAGGACTAAGTTCAGGAGGCGAGCAGTCAGGGTGGGCTGTCTGTAGGTCACAGTGACACTTGAGAATGAACTGCCTGCTCTTCTCATTCCAACTGCCACTGTGACTCCGGCCTGCAGGGGCCCCATCCTCCCCCCGGAGGCTCCCAGCTGGTGGCAGCGATGCTAACCGGAGGTCTGGGAGCTGGGGTGGCCAGCTGGACACATATGGACCTGTGAGCCATGATGCAGAGAGGAGTTGGGGGAATTTGTGTACCTATTCATGTGAATGCATGTACTGCTCCTAATGTGACAAATAACATGAACTGTATGGATCAGACCAGAAGATACATCTATGTTTGGAAAAGAAAAATTAGGTGGGCGAGGAGGCTAGCTGGGACTTGGGAAGGAAGGGTCAGTATGTGCAGCTTGCGCCTGTTAAATACATTGCCAGAATGTTTTGGGTCAACTTCATATCACTGTGCAGCAGTACTCAGCACTCCCTTAATTGGCTGCCCACGATGGTTGCCACTTGTCTTTGTGACAGCAGCCCCGGTCAGGGTGGCTGCAGCCTTCTTGCTGAATGCATGGATCTGTGGTCCCCCCAGATTGTAGCCACTGCCCAGCCGGCACTGAGCCTGTCGTGGGATTCGAATACAAATGGTGGAACACGCTGCCCACGAACATGGAAACGACCGTTCTCAGTGGGACCAACTTCGAGTACAAGGGCATGACAGGTAAGGGCCTCTCCCCTTGCCACGCACTCTCGGCTCCCTGCACACCCACGGGGGCTCTTCCTACGTCACATATTTTCATACTCATGATGTCTAGGGGGAAATGAGCTAACCAGGCCACGCATTCCCTGAAAGTTCCACTCCTCATGGGCATGTATTCTGCCAAATCTTGTTTCAGAGACAAAAACTGAACTAGAAACAGCATGCACATGCCCCAAAGGTCTTGCTCTGAGAGCTTCAGAGTCTTTGACCAAAGTAGTGGGACAGGTGTAACATGGTTGTGTCCAGCAGTGGTTCCAGAGTGTCATCTGGGCGCATGCGTGCCCTGCACCCAACACCACTGGGGCGTTAACTCTCCGCTCTCCTTCCAGGCTGGGAGGTGGCCGGGGATTACATTTACACGGCGGCTGGAGCCTCGGACAATGACTTCATGATCCTCACTCTGGTTGTGCCAGGATTTAGGTGAGGAATGCAAAACTAAGGGCAAGCCAGCGCCACCGTGGCCACATTCATGTCCCACATACCCTGGAATGCAGTAGGGAGAGACCCAGGGTCTTAGTCGCTACCCATGCTAATCTACCTACCACTCTCCCGTCCCATCTAGCTCCTTCCATTCACTGGCCACATGCTACTTAAAGCCTTCCTCCTCACAGCATCAGATACAATTTAAAAAAAACACCTTTTTAAAAGGACCAGAAGTGCCCATAGATAGTTCATTGTTATTTGGGGCAAGAAGATTGGGAGGGATTGTTCTTATCATATTTATCTACTTATTCAAGAAGACCTAGGACAAAAAGCAATTTGTTTGCCATTAAAAAAAATACTACAGGCAGTGTGGTACTATGGAATGAGCACTAGACTGTAAGACAGGGCACTTGAATGTTGCCACCTACTGGCTTTGTGAACTTGGGAGCCATCGTGCCCCTATAGGCATTAGGCCCCTGGTCTGTAAAACCAGGGGATTGACAGTGTGAATTTGGACTAACTCAGGCTGAGATGACTCTTCAGTCCACTTGTTAGCACAACTGTGAGTTTGGGCCTGCAGGTCCTCAGAATTCAAGCAAATGGCCAAAGCCGGGAAAAGGCCCTAAGTGGATTTCCAAAGCCAAAGTGAACTCTTGTGCACTTGAAAGATGAGGGGGAACCAGTGACTGGGCTTCCTGACTGCCAGGCTGGCCTCTCCATTCCCTCCTCCAAGCTCCCTCCTTTCCATCCCTGGTCGGTGCTCGGTCCACGGTGGTGGCTCGGAAGATGTTCGTTTCCCTTCCCTTAATTTACGTTACACAGGGCTGAGCAGATAAAGCCCATGTTTGAGAGATAAGAAAACTCTTTAGGCTTTTATGGGGGCACATCTCAATTTGCAAATCTGATCACCATAGTAAAGGCTCCTGCACCTCACCCACTCCCTCCCCGCTTTGGCTTTGTAGCTGGCTCTCTCTTGCCCAAAGGAAGGAGCACCCTGAGAACTTCGCTGAAGAGATTACAAACTGAACTATCTGCTCATTGAACCCAGGCAAAGCTCTCACCATCCCCAAGAGAGAGCTGCTAAGTGAATATAGACAATGTGCATCTCATGATAGCAGTGCTTCTACAACGTTAATGCCCATGTGCATCACCTGGGGATCAGGTCAATGTGCGGATTCTGACTCGGGGGGTCTAGTGAGCGCTAGGTGACGCGATGCTGCTGGTCTGGTGAGGCTGTCCAGCATTTCACACAGCACCTCCCCATCTGGTATGACTTAGGATCTCACCACAGTGATGGGAGGTGAAGAAGGAAGATATTATTACCTCCATTTTACAGATGAGAAAACTACAGTTTGGCTACATCAGGGTCACATAGCTAAGGGGCAGGATTGGACTTCGTACATGCTCTTTCCAATATACCAGGAGCTTAATTCCGCCCCCCTCCCCTCCCACCCCCCCAACCCCCGAGCCCTCCAGCAGACTCTCTGCTGCTCTCTGGGCTCTGCAATAAGCACTGCCCAGCCTCTGAACTGACTTTTAACTTCTGGCCCACAGACCTCCACAGTCGGTGATGGCGGACACAGAGAACAAAGAGGTGGCCAGGATCACATTTGTCTTTGAGACCATCTGTTCTGTGAACTGTGAGCTCTACTTCATGGTGGTATGTTTTCCTTTCATTGTTTGTGATGGGGTTTCCAGGAAGGGAGGGCTGGCCTCGTCGGCCCCACTGGTGCATCAACATAACTGATACCCCTGCTCATAGTGATTTCACAGGGGAGGGGCCCAGACTGTCCATCAGGGGCTTCCCCGTTTAACATGGATCTGGCCAACTGTGATGGCCCCTGGGACGGCAGATGGCCCCTGGGTGGCTCTTCCCCAGCATCCACCCAGCCATCGCACCTTCTTCACTTGTCTGTCTTGGGTTCAGGGTGTGAATTCTAGGGCCAACACTCCCGTGGAGACGTGGAAAGGCTCTAAAGGCAAGCAGTCCTTCACCTACATCGTTGAGAAGAACGCTACTGTGAGCTTCACCTGGGCCTTCCAGAGGACCACTTTCCACGAGATCGTAAGCACCTCCCCTTCTTCAGACCCCTGGCTCCCAGAGAAACCTCTGAACCCAGGAGGATCCTTAGCATTAGTTTGAGTGGAAGTGGGAGGGTCTGACCCCAAGGATTAGAAGGATCTTAAGGGGTCAAGCTGAGAACTGCCTATTCCAGGCCCCCGAGAAGCATCGAGCCTTGTCCAAATGACTTAGCTTGTCCCCTCAGCAGTCCTGCCCTGAGGACAAGTGTGGTGCCTCACCTGGTATGTCCTGTTCATCCCTGTTGTTGTTTTTAATAATAATAACTCTGGTTTTATTTTTTTCACTCAACTTAATGCAAATTAATTGCAGGAAACTTAGAAGGTAAAAAGAAGAGAGAGAGGAGAGGAGAGGAGAGGAGAGGAGAGGAGAGGAGAGGAGAGGTCACCTATAATCCTACTACCCAGAGAAAACCCAGTTAACATCTAAGTACCTCCTATCCAGGAGATATTATATAAATACTTTTTTTCCTTTCACAGATAAAAGACCTGCCTTTTTTCTTTCTTTTAAAAAAATTGATTTTAGAGAGAGAGGAAGGGAGAGGGTGAGAGAGAGAAACGTCCATGTGAGAGAGAAAACATCAATCAGTTGTTTCCCATACATGCCCCAACCGGGGACTAAACCTGGGTATATGCCCTGACTGGGAATCAAACCCGTGACCCTCTGTGCACGGGATGCTATTCCAATGAACTGAGCCACACTGGCCATGGGCAAGACCTGCTTTTTTCATATAACAATCTCTACTGCATATTTCCCCCATGGCACTTAATATTTTTAGGCATTTTTAAATGGTTCAGATTTGCTTTAAAAAATGACACAAAGTGTACATAAAGGAAGAAGGTGCTTATCAGACTTTTCTCAAGTATTACAGATAAAAAAAAATGAGGCAGTCATTTACTATTTCCGGAGAACTCAATTGCTGCTGGTGTCTCAGGCCTCTGCCTTCTCTCGTTTCCTTGTTTCCAGGGCAGAAAGTACACCAACGATATTGCCAAGATCTATTCCATCAATGTCACCAATGCCATGAACGGGGTGGCCTCCTACTGTCGGCCCTGCGCCCTGGAAGCCTCTGACCTGGGCTCCTCCTGTACCTCCTGTCCTGCTGGCTACTACATTAACCGGGACTCAGGGACCTGCCACTCCTGCCCCCCTAACACCATCCTGAAAGCCCACCAGCCCTATGGAGTCCAGGCCTGCGAGCCCTGTGGCTCAGGGACCCAGAGCAACAAGGTGCCAGCAGCGTGACGTGCATCCTCACCTCAGCCTCAGAGGGTGCCAGGGCCTAGATGGGGTTCTGGCGGGGCTGATCCCCAGGTGTCCCCCATAGCATACTCCCAGGGTGGCGTCCTGGAGTCCCCCATCCAGGCTGTGACCATAGGTGGCACGTTCTTACCTGTAGAAGTTGGTTGTCAGGGGCTAGGCCTCAGTCGTGGACAAGCCTCATCTTTAAGAGATGGGTAAGGGAGGTCTGTGACCGTCTGGTCCCGAGGGTCATTTGGCATCTGGGCAGTGGCCTGAAGGGAAGGAACAGCGGGACCTGTGGCTCAAATTCAGACCGACTTCACTCCAGCCTCTTATCAGGGGAATCTGCCCCCTCTCCTTTGGGAAGGTAACCCACCTTTGCTGGGACATACGGTTAATTGGCATTGCTGTCTTCTATCCAAGTGGTTTCTTATAAAGCAGTGCTGTCTGAATCTAGGAAAGTACTCTGGATAAAAGCTCTTAAATATTCATTAATGCTTTTAAGTGAATTTGTGTTTTACTGACCACAACCACATGGGCATACATCTGTAAGGCATTATGTATAGTCTGCAAACGTTGCTCGGTTTAGCTGTGCAGTAAGTGCAACGTTCTGCAGATCCTGGCAGCGTCTTTGGGGCTTCCTGGACTTTAGCCACACACTTGTTCTCCGAGGGCTCCCTCTGCTGCCAAGGAAGGGAATGACGGTTGTGTAAGGCAGGGGCTGAATGAGGACCCTAAAACAGAGTAAGGAAGGGTTTATGGGGAATCAAGCCCCCTTTGAAGTTCAGTTTCCTACAGAGACCCTGGGAAAGAGGAATTAGGGTTCAATTAGTTTAAAATGGGGGGAGGGTCAAGGCTTGTAGTTTCTCTCCTGCCATCCTGGACTCCCTTCTTCGAGTTAGCACCTCGTTTGCTGTCTTCTGCTTGAAAGTAAGAACAGCCGGAGAACTATTTCCGGAGAGTTTTATAATCTAAGCACAGGGACAAAGCTATGGAATCTGACCCAACTACTTACTAGAAAACAACAGGTTTAGGTTTGTACATCATACATATGCTAATGATTGAATGGCAAGGTGTACATAAGCCCCACCAGCCACTGCTTCACTTCTTCTAGTGCCCACCTGCACTCACTGCTGCTGCTTCTACCCACGTGGGCTGCACCGGGCTGGGTCACTACTGCGGTCCCCTCAAAGGCCCTGCCGCAGCCGGCTGACAACCTTTTTGCCCTCAGATCCACACTCTGTGCTACAACGACTGCACCTTCTCAGTCAGCTCTGGGAGCCGGTCGTTAGACTACAACTTCTCGGCTCTGAAAGACCCCATCTCTCTGGCTGGAGGGCCAAGCTTCACTTCCAAAGGGCTGAAATATTTCCATCACTTCACCTTCAGTCTCTGTGGAAACCAGGTAAGGCGTGCGAGAGCCGATGGTGTGAGAACTGAGAGGGGTTACCAGTGGACAGGAGGCCAGAGAAGGACACAGAAGAAAAGCTAGCAAACCTTCAGGCAAGAGATTGAGGAGATGAGTGGCTTTCAAATGATTACTCCTCTCTTTGAGGCCTCCCTCCTTTAAAATTAAGTCATTTGGATTATAAAAATTTAGGAAACTAAAAGTGTTTTAAATAAGTTGTCCATTTACTCCTCCCTGACCTTCATTCCCTCACAAGTATATAAAAACTATGCAGGAGAAAGAGAGAGAGAGAGAGAGAGAAACATCAATGATGAGAGAGAATCACTGATTGGCTGCCTCCTGCACGCCCCACACTGGGGATGGAACCCGCAACCCGGGCCTGTGCCCTTGACCGGGAACAAACCTGGAACCCTTCCATCTGCAGGCCAATGCTCTATCCTGTGAGCCAAACCGGCTAGGGCTCTCTTAATGATTTTTTAAAAAATGGAATAGGTTCCACTTGGTCCTAAGATGGCCTATCTCAAGGCAGGGAAGGGGTTAGGGATGGGGTCTGTTTTAACCCCTGGGAGCTGCTGTCTGGGAAGTGCTTCAGAGACCAGCATGGTGGAATCACTGCACCAAGGGAGACACAGAGAAGGAATGTGACCCAGGCCAGATGTTCAAAAACCTTCATGGGGTCAGTTACATCTTTCAGTATCTGTCTAGAAAATGGACTATGATAAGGAAGGCCCTTAATTGATAGATTAGATCTCCCAATCAGTTGCCACCATTACAACCGTGCTCCTATAGGCTCCCCACATGACTCCAACGAAACAAAAAGACTGGGATCCCCTGGGCCAGAGTTCCAGAAACTAGGACACCTAGGCCTTATTTTTAGCTTTTTTTTTTTAAGCTCCTTATAATTAGATCTGGGATGAATCATTCCACTGCAACATACCATTAGAAGACTAAAAATTTTAGACATTAAAAAAAATGTCCCCATTCCCTTTGAAAGCTCCATGACCATTCTCTCCTTCCTATTTCTTCCTCCCCACACCCTCCTGCCCAGGGTAAGAAAATGGCTGTGTGCACTGAGAATGTCACTGACCTCCGGATTCCTGAGGGGGAGTCAGGTTTCTCCAAATCCATCAGAGCCTACGTCTGCCAGGCGCTCATCATTCCTCCAGAGGTGACAGGCTACAAGGCTGGAGTGTCCTCGCAGCCTGTCAGCCTCGCTGATCGGCTTGTCGGTGAGTAGCCCAGTTGCTGCAGCCTGTTGGGTGTGTGCCTGTAAGAGAGAGTGAGGCTACCAGGCTCCCAGGTAAGGGCTTCCAAGGAGGGGCCCAACCTCTGACCTGTTTCCTACTCATCCTGGGGTGCCAAGTGCCCCAGGGGCTTCTGGCAAACCTGCAGTTCACCCTTTCATGAGCCACTAGGGGATGTGATGAGACGAAGGAAGATTGGACGTTGATGGGTATTGAAATAATTGAAGTGGCTGCCAGTGAGAACTAATCAGGAGCTCTGATTTGGCAGGGGTGACAACATATATGACTGTGGATGGAATCACCTCTCCAGCTGAACTTTTCCACCCAGAATCCTTGGGAATACCAGACGTGATCTTCTTTTATAGGTGACGATGGGAGGCCAGACTAATGCAAGTGAAACTTAGGGCTCCTCCACACTTTCTGTTGCATGCCCCACCCCTTCTAGCCATTTAATACTTATTGAGCCAGACCATGCCCAAGGTCTAACAGGTCTGCCTAGCAATGATAGCTAAAGGCTGGGAGTCCCCTGATCCCAGCTTCTTGGGTATTCCGGGGCAGGTCTGTCTTAGAGACAAGGAGTAACATTGGATGGTCTGTAGACTTCTCTTCTCACCTAAGGACACTCAGTGCTATGCACACACTGACCTTTCCTAGGCCAGTGCATTTCCCCCGGACCACATCTTCCTGATCCCTACTTGCTCCAAGTAAACCAAGGGCTGTGCATGCCCTGTGTGCCAGGCCACAGCCCAAGTCCTGACTTCCCCAGCCAGGGACCTGCTCCATGGTGACTTCACTTAGTGGCTCTCCAGTGGCACAAATGAGTGACTCATTTCCCCCTTGGGGGCTGGCTTTCACTGCAGGTCCAATGAGGTGACTCAGTCCTGCAGTTCTGGGAGGGCCACCACCATCCGAGTCAGATGCAGTCCACTGAAGCCTGCCCCGGGAAGTCTCTCCCTGCCCAGGTAAATGGGTAACAAAGTCGCCCTTCCTTGGACTTGTTCCATCCCAAGAGGCAAAGATTACCAAAAAAGAGCAAACAAGAAAACAGTCTGAGAGCCATTATTGGGCTCTTGAGAACATGGTTGTGCTCCAAACCCTCCATCTTCAGATGTTGAGAAAGGAGCAGAGGAAAGAGTCAAAGCTGCCTTCACATTCCCAGGCGGTTATGGGAGCAGTTGCATAGCCAAGAGCAGATGTGATTCATCTCCTCTGCTCACAAGTTCTGTTGTCGTGGATACATTTCTCCTCTTCTTTGGCTTCTTCTCCCTTATTTATAACATGGGGATAATAAGAAGTTCCCTCAGGGGGTCCTTTTGAGAATGAAATAAGACATTGAGACTGGAGGACTTCTCAGGGTGCCTGGCGTGTACTTGCTATAATTAGAATTAATAAGGGTTTAGGGCAGCGGTTCTCAACCTGTGGGTCGCCCCTTTGGCGGTGGAACGACCCTTACACAGGGGTCGCCTAAGACCATCCTGCATATCAGATATTTACATTACGATTCATAACAGTAGCAACATTACAGTTATGAAGTAGCAATGAAAATAATTTTATGATTGGGGGTCACCACAATATGAGGAACTGTATTTAAAGGGCCAGAAGGTTGAGAACCACTGGTTTAGGGAATCCTAGAAATCCCTCCATAACTAAAAGATCCAATTCTGAGTTTAAGAGCTGAGTGCCCAAAGAGAATTCCCAAACTAATTTGATTACAGCACCCCTCATCTCCGCCCCGCCCCCACCTTCTTTTTCAAGTCACACCAACTAACATCTCAAGGGGAACTAGTGCCTTGAGGGAGACCGTTTGGGAAACGCTGCTCCTAAACAACTGACCAGGGAGATGGGGAACAAGACAGGACATTTAACTCAACCATGTAAGACCCCTGTTCTTGTTGTCAACATCACAGGAAAGGAACTAAATATCCATGACCTAAAGTCCATCCTTGACCCCCACCGCCAGGAAGTTGCATCAAAGTGGCTTTTGCAAAATGTCATACGTGCACGGGGAGAACAGGAGCCTCTGAGGGGTTGGTTGGGCAGCATGCTAGAGCTCAGACAGTGTACACTGGCTCTCATCTGATGTCAGCAGAAACGCACAGGGTGGGGAGCCCAGTGGAGGTCGGGGAGGCATCTTGTCATCAGGGAAATTAGAGAGCAAAACCTGAGTTAAGGTCTAGTTGGAAGGATCCTGGTGAGGCTCACAGGTTGGTAAGGAGATGGACCAGGCGAGCTCTGCGATGATAGGACTCCAAACAGATTTTCTCCACTGATCCAGTGAGTGAGCTCAAGTGTCCTCTTTGCTTTCTAGCACATGCTCTGATGGGACCTGTGATGGCTGTACCTTCCACTTCCTGTGGGAGAGTGCAGCCGCTTGTCCGCTCTGCTCGGCCGATGACTACCACGCTATCATCAGCAGCTGCGTGGCTGGGATCCAGGTAGGTTTCTCTGCTTGGAGACTTCCCAGGAGAGAAGGGAATGTGATATCTGAGTTGCCTGTTTTTCTCCCCAACAGAAGACTACCTATGTGTGGCGAGAACCAAAGCTATGCGTGGGCGGCGACGCTCTGCCTGAGCAGAGAATCACCATCTGCAAAACTATCGATTTCTGGCTGAAAGTGGGCATCTCCGCGGGCACCTGCACTGCCATCCTGCTCACCGTCTTGACCTGCTACTTTTGGAAAAAGAATCAAAAGTACATGATGATGGGTATTGGAGTTTGGGGATGGACAGGGTTGGGAGGAGATCATCTCAGAGAGTAAATTCATGGAGCCTTTTTCTGGAGTCAGCCACAGACCCCATGACCCTGGCCATAGACTTGCTGAGCCACTTATCCCGAGTATGCCTTGGTTGTCCTGACTCCTGAAGAGGGATGGTACCACATGGCAGTCTATAAATAGCTGTTAGAGTCTCCAAAGCAAAGCAAAGAGCATCCTTAATTTGTTGTTAATAATAATAAAAGTGACTTTACAATTCCAATATTTCTATTAAGCTTTTAGATCCAAGAAACAGCCAGTCTTAAGGAAAAAAGGTCGCTGACCTGGGAGCCAAGATTGCTTAGCCATATGCCCAGCCTAAGACCGCTTTCTAGGCTTGAGTTTCCTTACCCATGGAACGGGAAGATCTGTTCAGAGCCCATCTTCTCTCCTGTTTCTGTTTATTCCTCATTTTGGTGTCTTGTCTTTCCCCTTCCCGTCTCACAGACTAGAGTACAAGTACTCCAAGCTGGTGATGAACGCTTCCCTCAAGGACTACGACCTGCCAGCAGCCGACAGCTGCGCCATCATGGAAGGCGAGGACGTGGAGGATGACCTCCTCTATACCAGCAAGAAGACCTTCTTTGGGAAGATCAGATCATTTACCTCCAAGGTAGGGAGCCTGGCCAGTGTGCTGAGGTCAGCCTGGAGGGCTGGAGAAGACACCAGTCCAAGGGCGCTGAATGGCCCCACGCTGTTCCGGGACCACTGCTTTGCTCCCCACCTGCCACACTCTTCTGTCCCCCGACCCTGAAAATCCTGGCTTCTGCCTTCTGTATTTTCATACCAATACTCTTTTCCCTGGGGCCCAAGGCTGCTCTTGACCAGGCTCCTTCTCTCCCAACTCCAGTTGATGAACTGTTTGGGCCTTTCAACTTCCAGGAGGAGTAGTGAACCATCCATGGTGTAAGAATCATTTCCCCCCTTTCTTTTCTTTTGGAAGGAGGGGAAGAGGTGATCTCTAAATCAACTTCTGCTAGAAGTCAGGCTCTCCTTTGGCCAGTGGTGGGTGCTGTTCCCCAGATGTTTGGCCCTGGCCCCCTGGGGGCTGAGTCATAGCTAAATTTAAGCTGCTCAGCACTGAGCAATTCTGACCTGGGAGCGTTGGTTTTGCGTGGGTGGGTGAGCGAGTTTGAAGCTCATTTAATACAAGTCAGACAGCACTGTCACTGGGCGTGAGGCCAGCAGTGAGCATCCAAGCAACTCCTCCAGGGCCACAGCCCTCTGCAGCCCCACTCGGCCAGTACCCACACCTCACTGGTGCCCTGAACCAACTCATCCAAACAGGTGTGGGCAGGGAGGGTGGTAAGACAGTAGGAGAGGACAGGAGGGATGGGTGTTTAGACAGCCGAATCTCATATCCTTTGTGCTGACCTACCAGGATGGCTCCTTGGCCCTCTTAGGCCTTGATTTTTTAATTTATTTTTTATTGGTGGGAGAACAATTTACCCTGGGATGCTTGAGTCTTTCTGGAACTTCCACAAAGATGCAAAGCAGAGGGTTTTAAAGATTTTTCTTATTCTCTGGCTAACTGAAGGGAGCAAGAATAGTGGGTAGCTTATGTCTCTGTTTCCACAAAGCCACTGAAAGCAGGAATTCCATAAGGGTTCCTTCTGTCACCTATTTTCCATTTCTCTCCTTTTTCCCACAACTTGCCCCTGTGCAGCAGCCAGCTCCTGTCACCATCTCTCTTTCAGAGGACTCCTGATGGGTTTGACTCGGTGCCACTGAAGACATCCTCAGGAGGCCCAGACATGGACCTGTGAGAGGCAATGCCCTGCCTCTCCTGCCTCCTCACCTTGGCACACCACCTTTCGAGCCTGTGGCGATTTGGTGCCAGCTTCCTGCAACACCCACTGCTGGAAATCTCTTCATTGTGGCCTTATCAGAAGTTTGAACTTTAGATCTTTTGTGTGTTTTTTATAGAGTATCCAAACTCTCCTTTATGCTTGCCTCAAACCTGCCAAATACACCCAACTTTGTATATTACTCCCTTGCTTGCATCTTGTTTCCCAAAATGGTCCAGCCATCAGAGCCATAGCTTCACCTGCTCATAACTCTTACAGCCCTAGAATGAAGAGTTCCCTTTTCTTAAGTATAGAACCTATTCCTCTGTCCTCTCATTTAAGGGCGGAAGCAGCTGGGAGTTTCCCTGATCATGTGCCCTCACTCTTGATCTCTTTAGGAGAGAGGTTGGGTAAGAGGGTATTGGTGTCCTTGGTGCACCATCTTCATGGTGGCCTGGATTCATCTCTTCTGGGTAAATAGCTCACACTGAGGGTAATGGATAGGCTGAGGGCTGGGAGAGTAAGGCCTGGGTAAGGAGGCTTGATAAGCACAAAGAGAGGCAATGAGGAAGGTTTGGTTTTGTTCTTTTTTTTTTTTTTAATATATTTTATTGATTTTTTTACAGAGAGGAAGAGAGAGGGATAGAGAGTTAGAAACATCGATGAGAGAGGAACATCGATCAGCTGCCTCCTGCACACCCCTCACCAGGGATGTGCCCGCAGCCAAGGAATCGACCCTGGGACCTTTCAGTCCGCAGGCCGACACTCTATCCACTGAGCCAAACCGGTTAGGGCTGGTTTTGTTCTTTAAACTAGGTACTTCCTTCTCTTTTCGTAAGTAAGAGAGAAATATTCTCACTGGAGCCAAAGGAAACAGTTCACTGAGAAAATGCCCAAGGCCCTGGTGGATCTACTCCCCCAGCTTTTTTTTTTTTAATCTCTCACTATCTATGACACTAAAGAAAACCAGGTAACCCCCAAGCCCCGATGTCCTACTTCTTTTTACCCACAGAGATGACAAACCCTATCAGTGAGGACAATTCCCCATCCCTGAGTGCCCCATTCCTCGAGGCCTGGGCCATATCATGCTACAGGGGTATCATATTTTGAAAGAACATAAGGAGACCATGGTTTTAACAGGGCCATACTGGGGGATCCAGCCCACAATAGGATGGACCTGAAGTGGTGACACTGGCTTCTAAGTGTAATTCTTCTACTCAGCCAGAATAAGTAACTTCTAGGCTGGCCAGAAAAGGAACTGACTCACAGGCCCCAAACTCAGCAGCAGAACCAGATCAGTATCTAAGGAGGAAAAACAAAGGGAGGTGAACTAGGAGTTCACCCAACTGGGACACTTCACACTTTCAAGCCCCTGTCCTGCCTTTTTCCTGTTCTCATCTTCTTTGTGTGCCAACCCTCTAAAAAGACTTCTGGCCCCGATTCCTGGCAGCATCCCTTATGAAAGGTGAGTAAAGCGAGTGTCCTCGGTAGCCCTTTTCTCCACTCTTACACCACCTATAATGGATGAACTTTAACTAGGATGGTAAACCCAGAGCAAGGGCTTAAGTTTCCTTTTCCTTTCTACCACTGACAATTCTCCCTCCATCACTGTCAGGCTAGAATGACCATCCCTTGGCCTAGGGCCCAGATGCCCATGGTCTGTGCCTGTCTCCCTTCTTGAGTGGTTATTGGTGACCAGATGGTAGGAACAGGATGCAGGTGGCATTTCTAAGTGGTTTGTCTGCCACCAAATGGTTTGCTGGTCTTCATTAGCCATTGCTGTCCCAGAAATAGTCTTATAAAAGGGTCCACGAGGACTGGAGCCCTGTGTGACTCTGGCAAACAACAGCATCACTAAAGGGAGGCAGCCCCTTTGACTCAACACACCTAGAAGCTTTTCTTCGAGTATCCAAATTCTCCCTCTCTTGTGGGAGTCAGGCTCGCAGACACTGCGGCCTGGTTGGAATTTCTCCAAAAGGATGCAGACAGCCAGCTTCTGAGCTCCAGCCCAGGTTTTCTGCAGCCTCAGCAACACCCTGGACATCTGCTTGCCCATTGAATAACTTGCTTTTGTGACAGAGGCCACAGGATATGCTTAGACTATTCTAGAAGCTGTAGGGCAAAGTACATACCCCATTGACTTCTTTATTCTGACATCTTGAAACTGAGTGTCCCCAGGGCAACCTCAAACCCCACTGATGTAGTCATAGTACTTTAAGGATCTCCTTTACACCATCCCTCTGTACTGACTCCTGTGGGTCTCCCGTGTCCTGCCAGGAACGCCTGAGTTATGCTATGGGGTCTACCTGTAGCTCCCCTGGCAACTTAGACACAGGGTAGATACTTTTTAATAGCTCTTTGGAGCTGTAATTCAAATATCACACAATTCTCTCAATTACAATGCACAATTCAATGGATGTTAGTGTACTCACAGCATTGTGTGTGCATCACCACAATCAACTTTAGAATAGACACATGTTAGACGGTATATGGGAAAAGCCTTATGCCTTTAAGCTAAGGCTATAGTGGTTTGTATAAGCTATTGGGGGAGGGAGTGTGGGCTCAGCAGATAAAATATTTAAATCCTATTTGGTAACCTAAAGTCCTAGAACACACAAGTAACTCTCATCACATAGATGTGACCTGTATTTGGTTGGGAATACAAATGAAGATTGTGGCATAGTCAAAGACCAGGGGATTTCTTATGCCAACAAAACCTTTATTTATTTTTTGTCTGACTCTACATTAAAGATATGACTGACTATATTTATACAACAGAAACTTTGTAACGAGTTTTTCAGCTTTGTGAAACCAAATGTTTTTGCGTTATCAAGACTGGATGGGTTTCCTTTTTTACTCTGTATTCCAAGAGTTTGTAGTTTATTAGGGGATGGATACTGCATGTCACATTTTTGTGTGAAATAAAAACATACCTTTCAAGTTGTTTTTCTTGAACATGGGCTGGATGGCTTGACGGCGAGTGGGAACTGGTAAATGTCCTTGAGTCTTAAACTGCAGAAGAGAAGGGTTCTGGATCCTTCAGAGAAAAGAGCATCCTCTGAAGCAACACGCCCTGGGCTAGCAGCCGCTTACACCTGTTGAGGAGTCAGCCATCAACCAAAGCCTCAGTTTCCACCATATAAATGCATTAAATGCTGCCTCACCTCCCAAGACGGAGTAAAGGCCAAACGAGAGGTCACATCAAACACGTAGCCTGTCAGTTCCCTGCCCTTCCAGCTGAGCTTGCTCTCGGGTGGCACTGAGGCCGGCCATGTAACAAAGTGTCTACAAATACAAGTTCAATGAGCTTGTTGGGGCCTGAGGTGGATTATTATGGACTAGATAAAATCCTAGAGGGAGTCAGGAACCATTTCCCAGGAGAGCTGGGTTTTCCTGTGTCTGTTTCTCCTGCATTCTAGCTGAGGGCACTTAATCTCCTCAAAAGGACTTCTTCAGCTGATTGGTTGTGAGCCACATCTGTTTTGGCTGAGTGGTACCTGGGTTGTACTGGTGGTTAAAGACTTTAAATATAACCCCTGCTTCTGGGGTAAAGTTGTAAGCCAGGGTGATATTTACCTTCCTCTTAAAAAGGAAAGTAGAAAAGGCATCTGTGTGTCAAGCCTGAACTAAGTGCCCATCTAATTCTCAGAACAGCCCTTAACGGCGGGTACTATTCCCATTCTAACAGATGAACTGCACCTCCAATGGAGTTAGGCATAGAAGGTCCCCAGCAGGCTAGGCTACACTCTAACCACACTGAGCTTTAGACTGTCCCTCAGTCATACGCTGTTTCACACCTCCCTGCCTGGCTTATGTCTTTGCTCCTCCCCTTCCTTTTCACCTGATAGACCTCACCCCGTCCTCAAAGTCACCCCACTGTGAAACCTTTTCTGGCTCACCCACTGGGGATACAATAGGGAAGAAACAATTATATGGGCAAAGTGCAGTTAATTTTTATTAATTCAACCATATGCTGTGCAGTGTCCCAATGCATCAAACAAGAAGCAGACATGACCCAACTTGAAACTGTGTGTGTGTGTGTGTGTGTAGTGGTTCTGTGTGTGTATGGCGGGGAGATGTGTGAATGATTTTAAGGGCTTCCCAATCACTGACAAAAGAAGTGAAACACATTGTCAGATGACCAGGCAAGAAGATACTGATGACTTGGTCTAAAACTTAAAGACATTTAATTGACTGAAAACCAAAGAGCAACAATGGCTATTGCAGTGATATAGAAATTGATGGCGGCCTTGGCTGAATTGCAGCATCATCCTGATATGCCAAAGTTACGGGTTCAATCCCCAATGAATGCATAAATAAATGGAACAACAAATCAATGTCTCTCTTTCTTTCAAATTAATAAATTTTTAAAAATGATGGAGGGCTGCATATACAAAACTTTATGTATAACTGAAGAGCTATTCAAGGAGAGTCTGGAATATAAATAATTTCATTTTATCGCTTTATGTGGGTAACAATCCCACATAAAGTGCAATTTTCTGAACAATACCATGTGGTAGGTAGGATAATCGACAGCTCATTCCAATTCTAACAGAGGAAGAGGTGGGGTCAAAATCGCCAAGGTCCTGGCAGCTTTCCCTGAACCGTGCTATTTTTAAATAGTTCCTACTTGGTTATCCAAGGACAGCAACATCACCCTCTTTTGTTGATGTGACTCTCTGAGAGAAGGGAGTGGGCACCGAGAACTGGAGATTAGGTTGTCCGTTTTGCCTAAAACAATACTACAGTCAAACAGTCACTGTACTGTGAAAACCTAGAAGGGAGCCAAAATCAATCATGGGGTGAAGAGAGCATCAGAGAAGACTTCCTGGAGGAAGAGAATAGCCAGTTTGAAGGAAAAGGAGAGAGAAACAGAGTTCCAGGCAGAAGGAGCTTGTATGGAGGCTCAGAGGCAAGGACGGGGAGCCACCAGTAGCTCAGGGGGGATTCCAAGAGATAGGGAACATGTTAGGGGGCAGGTCATGAAGGGCTTTGCAAGCCATGTTTGAACATCCTCTTGAGAGTTAAAAGGTAGTCATTGAAGGCTTCTAGCAGGGGAGTGCGAAGTTAGGGCTTGCTTGTCAAATACTGAGAAATCCTATTTCAAATAAAAAATAAAAAAGAGGAACAAAAAAACAGCAAAGAGTGTGTTAAAGTGAGGCCAGAGAGAGCCCTTCCACATTAGCCAGCTCTGAAGGGGAAGTTGGGGGGGGGGGGGGCGACATTGAGGATGGCATCTATGGCTGGGCTCCCCACCCTTTTACTTGCTCCCTCCCTGCAGGTACTCATTCCCCCTGGGCTGCCCACTGTTAGGTTTGATCAAATAATTGAATCCATACCCCTCCCCTGGGAACTGACCTTTAGTCCACTTCACAGCGGACATCCTCTTTGGACATTCCCTTCTGCTTAGACCACATTCCACTTGCTGAGACCATTATCTCTCCCCTCTGGACTTTCCCAGAATCCGGAGCCGCCCAGAGAATTCCCCGCCCAGAAAAAGTCCCCCTAACGTCCTTTAAAACTCTGACTCCCCATCCCTGGGTGCTGGTGCCAATTTGGGGCTCAGCCTATCTGGTTTTCCAGATCACCTAATAAATTCATAATTCTTTACCCCTTTCAGCCTCGTGCATTCTTCCCTCGGTGACCCTAACACCCACTAGTTGCCCAGCCCTTCCAAGGCAGTCGCTCACCTAGGATTCTGTTCCCTAAATCTGCAACAAGCTTCTACCCTCAGCCCACTCCCTGCAAGTCTCTCACCCAATGGGAATGTAATAAGCATCTTCCAGATGTCAGATTCTGTGCTACGTCCTGTGGAGATAAAGATACAAATATCCAATGGTATCTGCCTTATATATTTTTTTAAAAAAAGGCCTATTTTTCTTAAAAAGTTCCCCAATACCCTGTTTTCTGCTAAAGAATGTTAACAAAAGTATAAGCCCAAAATGAGACTCGCAGGCATTTACCAGTGTTCAGGTTTTATCTCCATTACTTAGCTTCCGTGGGCCTGTTTCCTCATAAAAAAGGGGCTGACCTAGCTGTTTCCCAGTTGGGGATCCTTGAACCCCTGAGTCCTCAGATACAGCACCCAAGGGCTCTTCTCAGTAAGAGAGGCTAACAGAAACCACACATCCAAAGGTGGTATGGCTTCACACCATCGCTCCATGACTAAAGTATCGCGTGTGTGTGTGCGGGCGCGCGCTTCTGGCAGTAACACTTGTTATTTCCTGATAGCCAGAAATTCTAGTTGGCAGCCATATATGTTTTAATAAGAAGGGGAAATGAATTATTGTTTTCTAAATCTTGTTTGTTAGACAAAGGTATTTCAAAACATGAGGAACAAGGCGATGAAAAGATTAGGAATGAATAGGTTAGCAAATAGCTAAGATTTCCCTCCAGCTCTAAAAATCCTGGGATTCTAACCTGATAAATGAAGTATGCCATTATATTCATTTTTGTATTTATCAGGTAACATGAGCATTTTAAAGGAAGATGTTTGTAATCTAATGATAAGACTAACAGTGAGGCTGGCTGGTGTGCCTCAGTGGTTGAGCACTGACCTATGAACCAAAAGGTCATGGTTCGATTGACCTTCAATCAGGCACATGCCCAGGTTGCAGGCTTGATCCCCAGTGAGGGGTGTGTAGGAGGCAGCCGATCAATGATTCTCTCTCATCATTGATGTTTCTATCCCTCTCTCCCTCTCTTTCTGAAATCAATCCTATATAATAAAAGGCTAATATGCAAATAGTCCAAACAGTGAAACAACTGGTTACTATGATGCACACTGACCACTAGGGGGCAGACGCTCAAAACAGGAGATGCCCCCAGGTGGTCAGTGCACTCCCACAGGGGTAATGCCACTCAGCCAGAAGCCCCAGCGGTGGCAGGAGCCTCTCCAGCCTCTGTGGCAGCGCTAACGACATCCCCTGAAGGGTCCTGGATTGCGAAAGGGCGCAGGCCAGGCTGAGGGACCTCCCCTCCAGTGCACAAATGTCATGCACTGGGGCCTCCAGTAAAAAAAAATATATATATATAACTTTTAAAGACTGATAGATCCTCCCTTCCCCACAACTGGTGGGCAGAGTATGATGTAACCTGCAGCCCGGAAATACCTGAGTGACTAACCATGTACCTTATATGGCCTATACATTGAACCACCAATCAACACCTGCCAAATACCCTAAGCCCTTGTTCCTCTATGGACCATATATTAAGCCACCAATCAGCGCGTGCCGAGTACACTAAGCCCCCATTCCTTCCCTCAAAAGGAGTGCCCACCTCTGCACGGTTTGCTGTTCTCCCTTGCGAGACTGCCCGGCAGGTCTTTTTCCCCTAATAAAGCCTGTAATCCTGGTTTTCGGCTCCCGACTGGTCTCTCAAAGACTAATGGTGAAAATTCCTAAGGAAATTTGGAGAGGCCAGACATTAGGGTCATCCTTTCAATTATATGAATGTCCTCCTTAAAGCACTGGCACAGCGGCCCTCCTCCCCTGGGCCTGGGCCCCAGTGCAGCCTCGGGGTGGGGGGGTGGGGGGGGACACGCAGCATTGCTTTGAAACTTGGCAAACAATACACTTTGGCAGCACCTGGCCTTCGCTGATGCAGCAGCGGCCACTCTTCTTAGCAGACTCCGCCCTCAGCTCAGAGAACTCCAAGCTCGGAAGACAGTCTTCTTACTGCTTTCTTCAGAGACTGCAGCTCCCTACGCTCCCCTTCCACTGGTTTTAAACCTAACATCCTAGGCAAACTGACCCGAGGGGGGCAAACCCAGAAACCGCCTTTGCTCCGCCTCCCTCGGGACCTCGAGTGTCCCCTCCCCCACTGCCACGAGCCCCGCCCTCCACCTCAGGGTTAGCGGGGCAAGGCCCTGGGGAGCACGATGGGGAGCAGCGAGGACAGCGGTGGGGCAGCCTCATCGCAGCCCTGCAGGTGGGTAAGACCAAGGTCTCCGACCA